TGTGTTCGTTAAATCTTTTCATATTGTTTCGAATTTTGCAAGTTTTGAATTTTTTGAAAGTGCTTCAGTGCTGTGGATGAATCAAAGTTATTCCAGACCCAAAATCAAATTTTAGTATTTCAGCTATATTTCTGATTGATAAACATAAGCCGGCTCCGATAAAAAGGGCCTAATTATTCCATGGTAGACCTCATAAAATAAAGTGGGATTCTCCGATCATAATGTTTAAGATAATAATTTGACAGGGGGAATTCGCATCACGTATTTAGTTTTAGCCCCAGGAAAACTTCGCTATATACAGTACCGCCGAATACATTCTTTTAATTGAATCAGCCACAAAAATTAACAAGTTTTATATTTTCCTCTCATCCCACGAACACAATTCAAATATATATTTTTTAAAATTCATATCATTAGGTTGGCGAAGGAATGCAGTCAGAGAGGCTTACAAAGGATTCACCTGTTGTTCAATTCGACTTCTTTGACTCAAACGGAAGAAGAATTGAAGTCAGCAACTTGAAGGAACCCGTGGAAATCTTCCTGCCGAGAAAACAAATTCCTTCTGACACCGTGATGCGTAACTATCAAACCTTAGATTCCACTAAACGAATAGAAAGTCTGTCAGTTTATTCAGTTCAGTTGAATCAAAATTTTCGCGACAGGTTTCCTTCTTGGGACATGATCTACTGACGATTGATTATCGAACAAATCGAAGTACGTGATGAATCAAATGAGCGTCAATCTTTTTAAAATTATGAGTCTTGTTGATGGATAATTCAGTACATAATAATACTGCAGTAGCTTATTTGTACAGTATAATACCGCGATTCGGCAGTTCAAGACAGAAAACTTACTTGTTCCTTCATAGTCTAACACGCGTATAAGCCCGTAAATTTACGATTTTATTAAATTGAACATATGTGAAGAACTTAGTCCGATTACGATACTAAATGTAAGACAGGACTCACAGGAGTTGAAATGGCGATGTTCAATGTTTTAAGATGAGTTGAAAAGAAGAAAAACTAATACTCGAAAAGAATCAACGCAAAATTCATTATCCGAAACGATAAAATGTAGCAGACCAAGAGTCCGTTCTTTGAGAAAAATCACCATATACTATGATTGTATCAATTGTTCTCAATTATTGTAGAGCTCAGAATATGCTTTGAGCTTTCATGTCGTAGCATAATTACAATTTTTTTAATATTCGGAATAATACTGAAATTCTTTTCGAATTTTGCATGTATTTCAGCTTTGAACTGTACGAACGTGACCAAGGAGTTATCGGGTAGCACAATCAAGATTATCTACACACAAATTCCTCCTTCCCAAGCTTCAGATGCGGTATTTCTGGAATTCTCATTGACAAATGTTTCGAATCCAAGACCGAACATCTACATTTTGCTCAGGGTTGGAAAGAAACCGACTCCGATTTTTGGACAGTTCCAATCATTCGTCTCGATAAAAGACATGAAAATTGAAGCCGGTACGTTTGAATTTGAAAAAGAAAGAATTCCGGTGATTTTTATACGGATTCTGGCACAGACGGACTCATGTCAGCTACATTGACTGCAAAAAGTGTCGGATCCATTGATAAAAGTGCTCTTAATGATCCCAAGAAGGCAATTTATATCGGAGTGTTGCAATTGAAGCCCGAGCACTTCATGGAAAAAATTGTCAACCTTACAACGTTTGAAAATCTGGAAAAATATTTGGAGTAAGTGAGAACTGAAAAAAATCTCCGGAGTTGTAAACGAAGAAAATAATTCCTCGCATTTTCCAATTATTAAAAAGGCCCAGGATTTCATCGGATTACTGCATGAGAACAACTTCTCCACCGCCTTCAATGAAACTGGGCTTCTTGCGTTGAACCTCGTTGAGACCCTAGTTCCAAAGTGTAAAATGAAAGGTTTTAAATCCAAGGATCGCTGAAAATAAAAGCGTTACTACTATTATTTAACTTATGCAGGTGAAGACCATGGACGCGGAAGGAATGATTTTGCAAACCACGCATTTGAGTACATTTGGCGCCGGATTCTTCGTCATGCCAAATACAGTTGATTTCAGTTACGTTTTCGCCAATGCTGGTTTCGCTGACAATTTGACAATTTACCTAACCTTGATCGTGACAATCGTGACATACATTGTCATCTTGGTCTGGGCCATTCGCAAAGACAAACAGGATATTGAACAGGTATTTTCAATTTTTTCGACAATACTTCGACGAGAATAGCGCGTCATTTAAACGAAATAAAATATGATAATATATTTTAATTTGAGCAGCAAGTGATTTTGAGAATTTCTGACGATAATTTGAAGCTTTCTGCATTTTTAAAAACTTCACTTTCAGCTTGGTGCTTTGTCCTTGCCCGACAACAAATCTCAAGACAAATACCTGTACGAAATCATGGTGTTGACAGGAGACCAAAACAGCGCCATGACTGACTCCAAAGTTTCGGTGGGTTGAATTGACTAACATAGGACATCGTGAATTTTATATAAAATATTAAATTAACTTTTTTTCAATGGAAATCAGTTTATTGTCAGCGGAGAAGACGACGAAACAGACGCGAGAACATTTGGAAAGCCGAGCGGATCCAAGCGCCGATTTTTCAAAAAGGGACAAATGGATTCGTTTGTCATGTCCTGTCCGAGGTGAAATAATGAATTTAGAAGATTCATGTCAATATTATCACAATAAAGAAAAATGTGTTGGCTTTAATATTGCAGACCGTTGGGAAAACTGAGCTATTTGAGAATTTGGCATGATTGCTCTGGAAAAGGCGTGCTTAGGAGGACCAAAACGTGTATGCACTAAAACTTTCTAAATGTCTGACTCCTTGCAAAACTCAAGTAGACGTTACTAACCGAGCGAGACCTCCTTCCTCTACCGTAACATTCAAAGAGTTGTCGTAAATTCAAAATATGGAAGAAACAAGAATTTTAGCGACAAATGTAATGAAAAAGCTTTTTCCCCGGATATTCGACGTAACTTTTCTATCGCATAAGTCAGCTAAGATAATTCAGTGTGCGCATTATATCCAAAATTCAGCGCAAAAATACTTGAAAAAATTCTTTTTGGATTTTTCAATAGTTTCTAGGCGCTGTATCAAATTTTAATAAAAAAAATAATAGGACGAACTTGATCTTCATTGAGATGATTTGGAAATTCATATTATCTCGCGATACCTCGAAATTTCAACTTTTTGAATCCGTTGAAAAATCCACTTTAATTTTTTGGAAAGGTTGACAGACATACAATATATCAGTTTAGTGGACAGCAGGAGATGAGCAAAAAGAGAAATTTAAATTCTCAAAAAAATTAAAACTTTTTGATTGCCTAAAAAACAAAACAATCCAATTTATATTTTTGCAAATAAGGTTGACAGGCTGATTCCAGTGGCAGGAAGCGAACAAAAGAAGGAATTCAAGTACTTGTTCAACACAGCCAAGTCCAACAACTTGAACCTAAAAAACAAAACAATCCAATTTATATTTTTGCAAATAAGGTTGACAGGCTGATTCCAGTGGCAGGAAGCGAACAAAAGAAGGAATTCAAGTACTACAAGTTGTGTCGGTTCAGGTTGTTGAACTCTCTGCCTGTAGAGACCAAGTCGTAAAAAGAGTCCGGTGGGTCTTCGTCCAAATGATCCCGGGTTTCTCACAGGACAACGTACCGGGATGAAATGGATACCATGCTCACAAATGCCATGTGGTACGGCACTACGAAAGAGAAACCCGGGTCTGGCACGTTAAAGTTCGGTCCTTTCGCCTTGGGGATCGAGCAGGTGACTTTTTTATATTCACTTTTTCCGACTCTGAAAAATAATTTGGTATGTACGTTATCAATATGCTGGTTTTTTTTTTGGAAAAAATATTCATTTACAGATTGGAGTTGGGCTGATGGCAAACTTTGTGGTACTTATACCCAGTATACTAATCATCACTCTTTTCAAGAAGTCCAGGCCGAGGAAACTCAGGAAATCCAGGATCAACGAGGCACTGAAAGCTCATGGTGAGAATAGCGAATCAATGCTCTATATGTGGAGATTAACCAAAAAATGTTGCTTCCTTTCTAAAAAAAATAAGGTTGTTTGGACGAGACCAAGCCTCAGCCATCGCAAAAGTGAGTCAATTCTTGAATAATGTGTTCTGGCAAGTCAAAAAGGCTGCTGATTGACTCGTATAATGCATAGCTGTGTTTCCCAACCTTTTTGGATCAACAGCAGACAACTGGCGAATTTACATAAAATTATTTGTGAACTTCCCAAAAATTGCCTGCCGATTGGCGAAGTTGTGAAAAATTGTTGCAGGCTCCAAATATTTTTGCTTGAAAAACTTACAATAACAGGTATTTAATTTTTTTATTTTTGGCAAAAGTTGAGTTAGGAATCTATGAAGCACATGTACTGGAATGTGTTAAAATATTATAAAGGAGAGCTTGCAGACAGGTTTCTCAGAATAAAAAAAGAATTAAAATATTATTCAGCAGGCGAAAACTCGTCTGAAGCATTATTAGGAGAAAAGGCAACTTTTGTTTTTCATCAAATATTTTTAAATGCAATAGTCTTTCAAAAATTTCATAAATAGACTTCAGTGCAACTTTTGATACATTCAATATGTGGAAGAAAATTTCCCGGGGACCAGCAAAAAATAAAATGTCTGCCGACCATTGAGGACCACAGGTTGTGGAATACCACTGCATATAGGGCATTTATATATTTTTTCTACAGGAAGTCCAAAAGATTCACATTACCCTGGTGGTTTGTGATCATAGCCTGGATACTTTGCTTCTTGTGCATGGCAGTCTCAGTATTTTTCCTTTGGGCTTACGGCATTACCTTTGGAGAGGATAAAGCTGCTAAATGGGTTTCCGCCCTCTTCGTGTCATTCTTCTCCTCTATTTTATGCGTCCAGCCGATCAAGGCGAGTACATGTACTCAATACAAGATAAGTAACCACATATTACCCATGAAATTGTTTCCCTGTAGGTGATGGTCATGGCTTGGGTCTTGAGTGCCATTTTCAAGAGCGAAACCAACGTAGACGACTCTGCTGAAGACGAAGAAGACACGAGGCTGGATTACAACGAGGAGTTCATTGAGAGTAAATAATACGCCAATGTAAAATTGTGAACCGAATGATCAAGCGAAGGAATTGTCTAAAATTATAAGAAATTCAAGAGTGTCTTAGATGCTATGCATTTTAGGCATATTAACCAATTAAATTTTGCTCCAAAAAATACAGAAACTGCAGCGACGAGGAAGAAAAAGCGCACAATTGCGTTCAAGCCACTGGACCCGGAGGCTTTGGAGTTGGTCAAGAAGGAACGACTCAAAGAAAAGATGCTGTGGGCAGTGCTGAAAGAAGTATTATTCTACACCCTGTATCTCAGCACTCTGTACATCATCTCTGTGAGCAACAGAGATCCCAGCGCTTACTTGATGAAAGACCATCTAGTGGCAACTCTAATCAGACCTGGGAGACAAGATTATGCTGCTGATCAGGTAAGAGAGGCTTTAATATGCATTAAGAAAATGAGGGTTCTCAATGCAAGCCAGCTTGCATTGGCAAACATTTAGGGGAACGTCCCCAATATTTGTCAGAATGGGTTCCCAACGCATGCCAGCATGGCTTGGCCAACGTTTGGGGGAATGCCTGCTCTCAGCAGACGTTGGGCAGTGACCAAATGGCTATTAGTCCAACGTTTGGGCCCCAATGACTTCCCAATGGCTTTGCAATGCAGGTTGCAACAGCAAAATTATTTGCTGGGGAATGCATGAGCATGAGTAACAAGAAGGAAGATGAAAAAAATCTTTTAAAAACTTTTTTTCTGCTCTTGGTTGCTTTTGAATAAAACTTGAAATTTATCTTTGGTTATTATTTGGATATGGTGGAATCTTCTGAACAAAATTCTCTATATTACGATTTTTTCCTAGTCAAACCCTGTTAAACCACCAACATCTGTGCAGCCAGATTTTGGCGGTTTACTGAGGGTGGTGGTCTATGGAGGGTAGTGGTTCACTACAAAATTACTACAGGACAAAAAAAAATTAAGAAAAGGGATGATGGATATAAGAAGAATACCTTTACATCAATATATGACTAGAACACGTAAAAATAATCACAAGAACGAATTAAAACCTCGTTTATAACGTAGGTAAACATGGACTAAAGAGTCGTAAACGTAAGACAAGTATAAAATTTTAACTTATAGAGAGGTTTAACAGCCAATAAAGGGGTAAAAAAAAACAAGGACAAGTGCCTATTTGAGGCCAGAAAATTGTTGGCAGATGGCGGATAGCCGTCTATCTAGGTTTCCCCATCCTTTTAACATTGGAAAGATTTGTTTGGGGTAAAAATATGGCGGGAGGTGAGGGTGGCGGTTTATCCTGGGGCGGTTTAAAGGGGTTTGACTGTACCTTAAATCCCCTTGTAAAAATTGTGTAAGCCGTCTTTAATGCTCCACCATGATTTGCAAAGAAATTCAAGGTACCAGAAAAATCTTGCTATGGACATAATTTCGTTGTAGGGAAACCCTAAATAACACAGAGGGATACGGCTGAAGGGGACCAAAAAGAAAATCTTAAACACAGAAAACCAATCTGGAAAAGATGTCGTACGGAGAGTCCACTTGAAGTCCTTTTTGTGTTCTTGACTGAGACGTATAATTTGTAATACTGTACATTATAGTCACCATTGATCTTCGAAATTATGCAGATTCAAACGGAGAACGATTTTTGGAATTGGACTCATAATGTGGTAATCCAAGAAACCCGGGCCCAAAACTGGTACAACGGAGACGCTGCTTATGGCCTCAGGGGGTTTCTGAATGACAGGAACAGTCGCATGATGGGGTACGCAATTTTGCGACAAGTGAGGTCACAGCCGAACACCTGCGTGTAAGTATATAATTCAACATCAGCCGATCAATTAGCGGTCTTCCATACATGGATTTTACAAGAATTAAAATGTTTGTAATCATGCGAAATTTTTTTAAGAATTCCTGTCGGTATGCGGAAGCAAAACATCACGAGTTGCGCGTATTATTCTGAATACATTCATGAAGAACGTGGGGATTTCTGCACGAAATGGAGACGAAGGGCTTCGTACATTCCGGATGAGGAATGCGGTTGGGACGAGTTCAGGTTTGAAATTGCTTTCTAAATAAGCAGAATTATATTCTATATATTCTTTTGAATATCGTACAGCTTTCATGCATGATTTTTCATTTTTTTGTGGACTTGGAAGATGCTCTTTTTCTTGAATTTTCAAATTACAGTTTCAACGAAAGTTACTGGGATACCGTACCATTGGATTAATATTCTTTTCTTGACACAGGCTAGCTTCTAGCTTTTCTTATGATTCTCTTCATGTAGATCATAAATACTTTGGAATTAAAAAAAAGCTTAATTCAATCTCGAACTCGGTTAAAATCAAAATGATTGATATAGTCAATTTTTCAATGAAAATTTTTTCACGATGAGCAGTCTCATTTTCCTGCATATAATTTTTTATGCCAGTACTCCGCAAAATGTCCTAAAATATTTTAATGTTTGAAATGAGCCATCAAAATTTGTAGCTACAAGAATTCTGCTGAGTTGAAATCATTCCCGATTGTTGGCAAATTGGATGGGTACGGTGGAGGAGGATATGTTGTCAAATTACAAGGCCGAGCTGAAGAGCTGTCAGAGAAGCTGAAGGATCTGCAGCAAGCTGAATGGACTGATCACCTCACGAGAGCCATTTTCTTGGAATTTTCGATTTACAACGCAAACGTGAGCCTCGATAACTTTTTCCAATTTTTTTTGCCTGAAGAATCCATATACGTACAGTATTTTTCTCCAAGACGTTTTTCAGAATCAATAAAAAGTCGTCCTGATATATTCCCGAAGATATCTACATTCAGATGCCGAAAATATTGTTCTCCGTCGGTCATCAAAACCTCAATATTTTTTATTGTTTTGAAAATTGTATCATTCCGAAAAAAATACTTCTAGGAAACTTGAATCTGTTCAAATTGTTTTCATTTTTCATCATAGCAGAAATTATTGAATAATCAGAGCCCTCTCTTAAACTGTAGTGGATGGAGTTGGATTAAAAAATTTAAAAAAACCATTATGCCGTATTTTTCTTGCAAACTTTGCGACCTAGAGGAACGCCCCTTGAATCAATATCCATAGTTCTTTCAAAGTTGTTGTTTTTTAGTAACTGGTAAGAACGAGTCACCTTTATTGTAAAAAAAAAACCATAAAGCTCAGGTTAATTGAATTACAAGGATGACTGCCGAAAAGTAAAAAGACTTTTTTTTCGAAATGCATTTTGAATTTTGAGCTAAAAAAGGCGTTAACAGAAACTAACACTCTACGGCGTGATAATAACATCGGAATTTTACGCAATTTGTATGCGTATACGTCATATCAAGAACGTTTTTTAACAAAGCACTTTCCCTGCTAAATAAATCAACTGATTACTTACACATCCAATGGTAGTAGAAACTCATCAGAAGGAATCTAATTGTAACGAATTATAGTTGATAAAAAGTTTGTTTTTCAGGTTCCTTATGCGCAACAGTCATAACATCATTTGAAATCGCCATTCAACGAATGTATCTTCACAACAAGCATTTTTCTCAAGGTCCCAATTAACAGCTTCGTTGTAACGAGATTTATGGAAAATCGACAGGATGTCGATAAAATATCCAGTGTCTGATGGTTGCAGCAATACAGTCAACCCTGTCTAATGGACTTGATTTGTGCAAGGGACAAGTCTGTTGGACAAAAAGTCCTTTACACAAATTCAATTACATAAAAAATTAAAATTTTCAATTTTCAACACTAATTTTAAACCAAAAGAAGTCTGTTTGGTGGATTTTGTCTGTTGGGCAGGAGGAAGAACTGCTTGCAGAGCTGGTCTGTTCAGCAAAAATCCCTTACACGGGAGGTCTGTTAGGCGGGGGGGCCACTGTAATTCATTACATCTGCGATTACTCGTACAATACCGTGTATAGTTCGCTCAGAAAATGACGATTCAGAACCGAATACTTATAAAGGGCGAAAAAAGGCCTGTAAAAGCACGCTTAACCGACGAAAAAACTTAAAAGCGTCCACTTAAACAAGCCGGATCGTTCTTATTACAAACTCTCATAGGGACCACCGCCAGTTTTGCCTTCGTGGCGCTTTGACGGGATCCGCCTGCTGCAGTACCACACAACCGGAGGTTTTGTTGTCATACTTGCAGAAGCCCTGTTCTGCATTTTTACCATTTACTTCACCGTGGTTCTGCTTCGTGGGATATGCAAAGGGAAAATGGCCTACCTAAGGGTACTTTTTTTTAGCATGCCTCATTTTTTCGCAATTTTTCTTCTAGGGCGCTTATGAGGATATGAATGAAGTGTCGACGTCTGGTTCCAGACTTATAATAAATTATTTAAAACTCCAGTCCAACCTCTGTAAAATTAACTTCAGGTGATCAACGAAAACTTTGAGATAGGGAAATTCGGAGCCAGGTTAACAAGCATTTACGCTTGAAGGAAAGAAGAATTGCAGGAAATTTACGCGCCTCAGTCAAAATAATGACGTTTATAAACATGCCGAATTGACGTACTATTTTAGGATCTAAATTCTTGCGTTTCACATGATGATTTTTGTGCCATATAATCACTGGAATAGAGAAAATTTCTAAATTCTGTTCCGTAGCTTATAATGAATCGACTCTAAAATCCGTGTGATATAAATTAGCGCCATAATCCGAACTTCGTTTCCTGTATAATTCTGCAAGGTTAGTCATGTTGACCTGATTCATTTTTCGCAGTTGTACTGGACTATGTGGGAATGCATTCAGATTACACTGTCTTACGCTGCAATTGGCCTCTACGTGTACCGATACATGTTAACTCAGGATGTCTTAGAGGTGTTTGAAAAGACCTACGGCAATGGGTACATAAGAATGCAACGCGTTGGATTGATTGACGAGTCCTTGGGATATGTCATTGGTATCCTCGTCTTCATGGGGACCATAACTTACCTCAAGCTGTTGAGGTCAGTCGGAAAAATTATAAATTATTCGAATTATCGGAAGGGTTTACCACATTTTCACTGAATAAGATTTAAAAAAAAAGTGAAATGGCCTATGGCTGAGTTAAAAAACAATTATTGCTCAGAAAGAAACCCTTCATTTTCGCGAAACAAAATCAGCCCTATTTCATATTTTCAAGGACACATTTGCAAGTCACCCAAGCAGCTTTACGTTCTTTACTCTCAAAAAAATGAGATGACCATCTTGCAGATTCTTTGTAGTACCCCAGCAGTTTTCCCTTTGAAATTCTTGAAATCGACTCGGCTTTCATTCATAGGGTTGCCAACAATAATTGATCAATAACCCTTGGTGTTTGGGTCCTGTTTGATTGTGTGGCAGTGCCAGGATTTTTTTGCATGCAGGTTCATTTTGGTTTGACCAAAGGTCACCAAAACACAGCTTTGGCTGAGCAGCCAAAGACAGAAAAAATCTGGGAAAGGGAAAGCAATTGTTCTGAAAATACTGCAATGCTTATCTTATGACAGGAATGAATAAAAAATGCCACCCACCAAAAATTTTTTTTTTCACATAGATTTTTTGCAGGAATTTTTAAAGAATTAGCAGATTCTCCCAACTTTGGTTCTTCTGATCATTCTTGTTTTCCTTATTTTGTTTACTCCTTAAGGCATACTTTTTTTTTACTCCTTGTGAAAAAAAATTTTGCTGATAAATCCCAGCACTGCCCTCAAGGATTGATACCAACATACAGTATTTTGAACAGCTCCTGTCACAGCTGCCACTTGGGATGAGACTGTGGTGGCTGCTGTGGATGAAAATGGCGGAGTTGCCTTGGAAGACCTGGAGACAACCCTTGGAATAATCGGTACGGTTAAAATTCTTAAGACTGTTTCGACCCACCGTGGGTTTGTACACGTGCTAACCAAGGAGTCGAAAACTAAATTTACGTCTTTCGACAGTCCCACTTAAAAAACCTTTTGTTTCCTTGGTTAAAAATATGTCAAACTGGGCAGCATTTTTTTTCTTGTTCCAATAATCGCTTTTCAGATTGTTCATAAACCATTTCAATTTCTATCCCAAAAACTTTTTTGAACCCCCCTTGTACACATAATATATTACATATTTTGAAATGAGTTTAGAATGTAGAACAATAATAATTTTTCTGACCAATAATGTTTGCTTTCATGGCTTGAAAATAATGCTGGGGCTTTTTTTGAATTATGACATTCGCTTCAGGGTAACATGAACCAAAAAACTGAAAATGACTTTTGGGAAAGCATTGCTAAATTTTTAAATCTCGGCATCCTGGCTTTCACCAGTATTTTAGCCACTCAGACATTGTGTCTTCTAAGTTCTAACTCATTCGGCATTTCCCTGATCCACATCAGAGATCATATGGAGTAAAATTCTAAAAATTACTGTATTATTGCATCTTGAATTATTTCGAAGTAGAATTAAATGAGCAATTTCATAGTTTTCTCCCGTTTTCAAGGGTTAAAGAAGAGGAAATCTTTAACATTTTTTCTGACCCCATTATATAGAGAATATGAATTTATATTTTTGAAAAGCATCGAAATTTGAATTAGTTCTAAAATGACTTTGAGATCGTCGAATTCATGAAGAACAGAATTGGAACTTTCGTGGGAGTCAAGAAAGTAAGAAGGATTTTTTCGCATAATTTTCAACCAGATGACCGAGCTCTTTTTCTTGTAATTTTGAATATTTTGGTTCGAATATTAGCAAAAATCTGTTTATTCGCACGCTTTTGTGATTGTTTCCTTCTCTCCGCTGAAGATTCTAAGGTCTCATGTTTCATACCATAAATAAGTCTTTACGGTCATGGATTAAGCTCAAAAGAACTACTCAAGGTGATAAATGAACCAATTTTATCCTACCACAAATTATCAACGCTTCCTAAACGTCCGAATACAGTTAATTCAAATTTAATTCAAGCATTGGATTTTGATTTAATGCTATTGCGACACTTGAAGATGACAGTCTCACCCACACCTTTTCATCATAGTTATTTTTTGAAAAATGACGTGTCTCCGCTTCTAACTTTTATAAATTTTCCATACACCGTCACCAAACATTAAAAGAGTTTTTGTATAGAAATGCAAAAGTTCCCGCACGTCATAAGCTTTGATGTTCAAATTTGGCGAGAAAGGAAGCAATATTTTCGAAGTGAAAAATAATCCCAAGCAACTCTGTCTTGTTTAAAAATACTGTATGCCATATATTTAAGAGCCGCGAAATAGATTATGACTACGATGATCCATTTCTGGTGATTACACATGCGTAACCCAGAGTTCCTGATTTATTCAGACAAATACTGTGAAGCCAAATGCCCAAGTGGAAATAAATCCAGTGAACCCCCAGTCATCTGAAGAAGACAGGAAAAACGTGGGAGATTTCTCAGGAAAAGTGGACAAAATGCTGGATCACATCAACACTATCTATTTCAATGGAGAAATCGATATTCACAACAAATCGTGGCTCAAGAAAATGGCGTCCAAGCAAGCAAAATGAAACTAAGAAATGAATCAACTGAAGCATGTTCATTGGAAATGGGAATAAAATGGCATTGAAAAATCTCTCGAAATGTTTAATATATTTTACTGATAAAAAAAATCAAGTCAGTTTTCACCAACTCTTGGTCTGGGCCATCTGGGGACTACCTTCAATCTGCAATTTTTATGCAGGTTTTTGCCAGTCTGTGGGAAATTTTCTCCAACAGAAAAAATTCACCGAAGTATCGATGAAGTTGTTTATATCTATCTGAAATTTTTGAAAGACAATGACAGTTGAAATTATCTGATGACAAGAAGTTGCTGTTGAATTCTCCGGCTCACTAAAATATATTATTTTTACTTTTGATCCTAGAAAGCCTTTCTTATTCAAGGCCATCGTTATAATTTTTTCGAAGACATTGCACGAAAGCTGCTTCATAGGTTCTTATCTCAGTTTCTGTGAAAAGCATAAAATTTCCAAATACTCTACTGTATTTGACATAAAATCTTTTAAACAAAAACGTTTCCTACTTGGCAAACATTTCATGAACATCGCTAAACAAAAGAAAAAATTTACGGGAATTTACCAGTCCTCAAAGAAATGTTTTGGAAATTTGCCGGTAGGGTTGCCCAAAAATATTGGGGAAGACTGACGTAAATCATTTGAACCCAAGACTGCAGCTACAAAAAAGAAAACAATAGGAATTTCAATTAATCTCGAGATCGAATTTTAATGAAACGTCTTAAACGCCGAATAAAGATCCTGGATTCGATCTGCTACCCAATCTTCCTTGATGAAGAAAGTCGTGACCCTTTCAAGGATTCAGGAACAGTAGCCCCCCCCCCCAAAAAAAAAAGGAAATTGAAAGAAAGGGACACATGGGCCTCAATAATTGGTGGTGCAAGGGTTCTTGTGGTGTTCGTGGGGAAGACAATATGAGGCTCTATATGGCAATATGAAGTCCTATTGCGTATCACTCTTCTGAAGCAAAAAGCCAGAAGACCGCCTTTGCCGAATGAATGAAGTTGCTGAGCAAGACATCCTTTCATTGCCGAGGGAAAGCTCCAAAGTTTTGAAAATTTTCATTCCTTCCAAGGAATTGTGTCCAGGTTTCAGGAACGTGGCCCTCATTTTAATTCACTCATCCCACCCAAAAAAATGGGGAAAAGGGTTTAACGGATGCCGGTTGCCCTTCTCACATCTGATGGCGTCAGACGGCAGCTATCATAGTCATATTTTGGGGACAACATTTCCTTAAAAAAAACCACAATGCTGCAAATGGAAAATCAAAAACTATATCAAATATTTAAACAAACCTAACTAACATAATCTAATCATTCTAAATCTGAATGCATCAAATAGACTTGTTGAATTATTTACAAATGGAAAATTGGAAAAAAATGAAGATTTAAACTAAACTGCTGACCTAACCTAAGTAATCAAATCTTAAAAATTAAAATTAAGTGCCCAACGTCTTGCACCAGTCTGTATAAAAACTGGCATATTCAAGCACGATTTCCCCCTCACCAAAAATATCTGGAAGGAAGATAGAGGGGAGCTGAGCAGAAGAGGAAAGTTGACAACGAAGGACCTATATGTCTGCCCCTTTTCTTGGTGGGATGAGCAGAAGTGAATGGGTTCTTCAACCAGATTTCAAGACCTCAATTTTTAAAATAGTGAAATGTATATCTTTTCTGAATCTTGAAAAATAGAAGAATCTTGAGGACTGTATACTCAAAGCAAATACAATTCAATTCAGAAAAGAATGCATGTAATTTGAAATTTGTAAACTTCAGACAGAGGATTCAGACAGATTTTTTGCGCTTCAAGAAAAGATAAGACCGAAGAAGGAATGAATCACTAAAAAATGAATATGAACCCCTTTTTATCTTTCTTTTTTTTCTTACACTGGATGTGATTATAGATATGATTATATATTTCTCTTGACGGAGGAGGTGGATGCACTTGTTTATCTATTTTACTTCGAAAGTTTTCAGATCTATTCATCCAGCAAATATTTTGGGAGGCAGGGAGTGAGCTGCTAACTCACAGCAGCCAGCTTTAGAGGGCCCTTGAGGGATACATAAATTAAAGGGGGAATACCTTACCTGAAATCGATGCACTGTAACATGTTGTATTCAAATCTGTAAAAACAAGTGCGTAAATACGCGTCTTATTGATACAGTAATCGTCAAACTAAAAATATTTGTGTGCTCAGAAGTACTGTATACAACAACGTGTCATTCCTTCGGTGTAATGGAGATAAAGCGTACAAATAAGACGGTGAAATTATACTGTATACATTCATTGCAGTTTCGAAAATGAAGAAAGCTTTACAAAACGGCCTTTGTCTCTCTCTGCAGGCAATTAAGATCGTGGAAAATTCCTGCAAATTGAAAGATATAGTTTTTTCATGTGTAGTTCATAAATCAGCGCACGTCGAAAAGCGCACGTGCGTTTGCATTGTGTTCGCAATTTTCAACGATTTTCATCCTTCACAAACCTTGGATTTTTCAGGCCAGTAATCTTTAGTTCCCGCATGAGGTCTTTGCAAAGCGACGTCTTCGTTTTGTCATGCATATCAATTAGTAGATGGATAAATGCACAGCGCAGGGCAAAAAAATATTTAGGTCGAAAAATCACTTGTGTCTTCATAATTTCGAAGCAGCCCGGCTTATATAAATCAGCCCGGCATCGGAGGAAAACACTGTGCAGTTCATCTCTCTTCAAGTCAAGACATGCCCTTTCTTGACTCGCTCATAATCCTCAGAGAGTTGAAGTCTTAGAAAATACAGTATAGCATTTGATTTCGATGTGAACTGCAGTGAAGAACTTGCGTAGGATTCCATGTGAGTGTTGAGTATTCCTTGTCGATCAAAACACCCACTACTTTTTCCCCCCGTGATATCATGTTCATAGTTTTTTTTGTCCCATTTTTAATCATTGCAGGAGACTTAAAAGTTCTGCGCGGGTTGATTTGCTGTTTGAAACTCTCGGTAAAGTATAAAGAAATTCACGATTAGTATTTGAGTGCTTCAGTCGCGACATCACAATGGGAGGAGTCGCTGTATTGTTGCTCGTGACGGTAGTAATCCATCACTGTGCGGCCGAGCCTGCTGGTAAGTTGAAAAATGATCATTTTCTTTATTGTTACTTGAAAAATTAGTAAATGAACACCTTTGCTTTTATATCACACAGTATGGAGCAGTGCTGATGTCGGTAGCGGTGTTGTCGCTAGTGATGCTATGCATCCCCTGGTCCAGCAAATTATCACTCGAGTTGCCAATCGATTGAGTACTTCTTCAGGAATGAACCCTGCCTATTCTCGCATTGAAGGCGGAGTTTTCGAAACGGACATAACTAAGGCTCCCTACATTGCCAGGATTGATGTTATCGTGAATGGAACGACCGAACTAGTGGGATGGGAAAGTGGAGCTCTGATTTCGAAGAGGTACAGTATAGTAATTTATTATTCGAAGCTGAACTTTTCATGTAGCTTCGATGAACTTTAATTTTCAGTTGATTTCAGTGTATGGAATGTGCTGAAATTTAAAAGTAGTATAATCTCTATCTCCCAGCATATGCGTACATAAACATACCAGTATAAGGTCGTGAAGAGGGATTTCTGCGGGCGCGGTTATATTTTAGTGATGCCTCGGAATAGTTCAAGTTATATGGTGGATCACCATCATCCTCAGGTAAAATTTTTTTGACTTCGGATGCTCCATGATATCCATGACGTATAACGCTGAGGGTATCTATTTCAATAAAAAAGCCGGTTTGAAATTATATTATCATACATGGTGATCGACTGATCCCGAATGATGAACGTAATTTAATAGCCCTCCTTTGAATTTATTCAACTTCGTCACAAAGTATTGACAATGCCGAAGCTCAATATGTCCTGAAGGCCATCCTCACAGCTGAGACGAGGTTTCATAATCCTACATGCATATATGTTGTGGTGAAGTGTATATATATATATAAGCTTTGAATTAGGCATCGCAAATTCAAGTAGAGTATGTGCTGATTGATTCCTTTCTTTCTACGACAGACATGTTCTCACTTCGGCCTGGATGCTCGAGCCGAAGATTTTCCAAGCAATCTCTTTTATACTGTCAAGCATCCGTGTCAGCCTCGGCGTTACGTCATCCACCTCACCGAACCAGCAAGAGTTCACCGTCTCGTTATCAAACGTGATTCTGCACCCGGATTATATCTACGTACGAGAAAGCAAAACTTCTGTGGATCCAATCATTAAAAATCAAGTGGCGATTCTGAGGCTACCCTCAGATGCCGTATTAGGTGACACTGTGAACACCATTCCGATTACTTACAATCCCGGCTTAACGTACACAGGACAAAGTGTCACGATCCTGGACTGGTACCCCACCGGTGAGTATATGATTTATCAAAGTACGGCTAGCTCCACGCCATTGCTTTAATTTCTGATTCGTATATCTGGGAATTATTTTCCTGATTGTCTCTCGCCGATCCACCACCCTCACCCTGCACCCCAGGCAAAAAAAAGGGTCATATGTACTTGTCTGTATGACAAGCACAATCATCATAGAAAATTAATCAGGAGTCACAGTTGACACGGGAATTCTGAGGACAGTCAATGCATTTCATCAGCAGCAAGCTTTCAAGCAGTCAAATTTCTGTGTCCCCCAAAAACCAAATACTCCTGCAGAAAGCTGCAACATTTTTGAGGGATTTGATGAAATCAGCGGGCGTCTTGAACAGGGCGGCCAGCCCAGGAATGAAAAGATTTTTATTCCGCCCAGTCAATGGACCCCTCTTTTTTTGAAGGGGGAGAACCTCGGCGGATGGATGCGCCAAATGCCTATTTTCGTGCAGCTGGTTCTGCTGAACTTCAAAAGGCGAATTATGTCGGTGTCGGGTGCAACAGTTCCATTGCGGACCCGCGATGGTCGCTTTGTTTCGAATTTCCGGAAGCGAGCGCATCAGGTTCCAAAGACACAGTAAGAAAAACGAAATTCAACGCTTTTTTGAATTGGTGTTATAGTTGCGAAAAAACTTATATTAAAGATGTAAAGTGGGTATAATAAGGAGGAGATCA